ATTGCTCAGTGACTCACATCTGAATAGTAAGAGCAGCAGATTTGTTTTCAACCAAACCTTTAAGAACACTTTATGCTAATATAAGGCTCTAAAAAAAAACCTCAGTGTCCTCTTTAATGTGCCAAAAGCTTAAAGCTAGCTTGGGGTAACTCATGGCTCACCCCTTGAGTTAGGGATTCAGAGTTAAATGGCTTTGCAAAGAAAAAAAACTGTACCGAAAATGAGAGGAAAAACTTAAAAGATATGCTGAGAAAAACCCCAAAAGAGCTTCAGGTAGTTCTGTGTGGACACAACACTGGCTCATCCCTTGAGTTATGTGCCTTTTTTCTGCCTGAATGATTCAGAACTCAGAGTTAAGAGGCCGAACAAAGAAAAACTGGACTGAAAACGAGAGAAAAAGCTTAGAACTTCATTTTAAACCACTTTATTGAATCTTTTGTTGGATTTGTTTCAAGTCAAAATAATCAAAATAATTACAATATAAAATAAAATGAATAAACAAAACAAAACAAATGAATGAAACAATTACACTCAATAGCTTAATAAATAAATTTGATCTACTGTTGCTTAAGAAAGTCCATTTTGGGGCTCCATACTTCTTTAAATTCTTGTGCTTTACCTCTGAATACATAGGTTACCTTTTCGACTTTCTATGTTTTATTTTTTTTTAACAATGTTTTTTATTAATTTTCAACAAGTATACAAAAACACGTTGACACGTGCTACACTATTTGCGTAGTAAAGAGTCATAAGTTATTAATTTAATAAATTCAAATTCAAATTTCAAAGAGTACGGACATAACACAATAACAATAATGACAATTACAAATAATAATATATAAAATAAAGTTAATAAACACAACAAATAAATTAAACTATTACACTCAATAGCCTTACAAATAAATGTCCATTAATCTGATTACATAGGTTCCCTTTTAGACTTTGTATGTTTTTTTATGTTTCAGTGTTGTTTTAATGATGATCGTCTTTGTAAAGTGTCTTTGAGTGGCATGAAAGGTGCTTTTTAAAAATAAAATGAATAATTATTATTATTTATTAATAACGAGTGTTTTACGGTCTGCTGTCCATCAGGGGATGTACATCAAATCAACCTACGACGGACTCCACGTG